TACTCTTAATAAAAAATAGTTAATAATTAAAATGGTGGTTTAACCTCTCCACTTGAGAACGTCAAGGTCGCCACTAGGTGGCAAGGAATCTCATTTTATAAACTGAAAGCCATCTAGCGGTGACCTTGACGTTCTCAGGTGGAGAGTAGCATCTCCATATTGAATCTCCAGTTATTCGTAATTCTACAATTATTTATAATCAAATTTAGCGAGTTTGTCAATTAATATAAAAGGATTTCAATTTTTATAATTTTCCTTATCGATATTTTTATCGTTTTCAATTTTTTAATTGAATTAATTTTAAATGTAATTAATTTTTCCAGTAAATAACTTGATTTCTTAAAATTTCGGTTTAATAATTCGGTTCAATGCAAATATTATTTCGCAAAATGGATTAAAATCAACAGAATTTGAATTCCTGTAGACATTTAGGAAAAAAACTCGAATAATCCATAAACCACCGGAATAATAAAATATTTATCTTTCGTTCGAAAATTTTTGTGAAAGATATATCAATTACATAAAAGAAAGTATTGTAACTTAAATGTTTATAGAGCAACCTCATTTTCAGTGTATAAAACTTTTTCACAGCAATAGTCACGCATTGTGTAGCAATTAATCTCGCTTTTCTTTCCACATCAAATGAATTACAGCAGAATCCTTTTATTCACTATGATGGTTTTGTGCGCCAATGTTTTTTTCCTTCCATCTTCCTCTTAATATATCGCAATGATTCATCTAAAATACCGTTCAATAGATATGAAATCTTTTTATAAGCTTGTCCTTATTTCATCCCTGAATGCTATCGCGCTTTGATATTCATGAAACGAATTTAACATCACACTGTATATAGTGTACAATTTACATTTACACGCAGGAATCAGAATTTGCTATTTATAATAAATTTTTACACACCCATAGAGATTTCGAGTGAGAAAACTTATCAAATAATCGCAAATTTCAATCACTTCACGAGAAATAAATTTTCAATTTATAAATTTTCGAAAAATGATAATATTCTTTCTTGATAGGTATTTATGATTTATATATTCATTATTTACTTGTTTATTTATTTATTACTATTTTATTGCTTATTTATTCATTCATTTTTTGTTTTATTTTTTCTATTATTTATTTGTTATAGAACAAAAAATGGTACAGAAAAATATAGAACAATAATTTGCAATGCAAAAATTAGCAATTTGAAAATCTGCAATTTCAAACAGTTATTTAAAAATTTACAATTTAAAAATTTACGATTTAAAAATGACCAATTAAAAAATAAACAATTGTAAAAATTCGCAAATCTCGCAAATAGAAAGAATATTCAAAATTTTCTGCCTGAAAAAATATTTCAAGTTAAAAGAACAATATGTTTTCGCGCACAATGATGAAAATTATTGAAACAAAAAACCATAAAAATTTAAATCATATGGACTAAATTGTTTGTGTTTTTTTTCTCTATCTTTCGTCTAATTTTGATGTGTCGTTTGTTGCTTAAGTCATTATTTTATGAATCAGGGCATGCCAAGATAATAAACATATTCCTCAACGATGACCCATTTAATTTCTTCTTTAACTACAACCACTTCGACTTCTAATTATATTGTACTGATTAGATGCGGAGGCAGAGAAAAATGAAAACTTATTATATGCCTTTCATCTCTCAGTACGTAATCCCTTCATACTTCTTACATGATCTGAAACTTTCGTTCTTCAACATTTAATGGTCTAATTAGCACTAAAAGAATATTTGCCTTTGAATATATGCCTACATACAACTCGGAGGAGTGTTTACAATATAACTTATTATAAATTATTATAAATTTATCCACTCTATATGCATTTTGTAATAATGAAATTAAACAATACTTAATTACAAACTGTAATCTATTTGCAAGATTTATTACTAACAATTTACTCCACTATTTATTTTGTTTAACTATCAGAGTCATTATTTATTGGGAAATTAAGTTTAAAATAAGTAATTACTTAATATTTAATAATTATTACAACAGGCTTCGCACTCGCTAATTTATAAAATTAATTAATTTAAATTTATTATTTCTGTGAATTTAACTATCTTCAAAAAATTTTAATTCCATTTTTTCAAAAAACTCAGTTTTCAGAATTTCTAAATTAAATTATCCGAAACTTCAATAATTTTTAATAATAAATATTTAAATACTGTCATTTTTTACAGTAATTTAAGTAATTTACCCTCCTCCTTTTTTCATTCAACCAAAAAAATTCCTCCAATTAAATTTTAATCATAACAGGTAAAGGTATAGTCAATATAGAAAAAAATTTCAATCTCCACCAATCCTACAATAAACAATTAAATAACTTTCTACAAAATAATACAGAATCAGGTTTTGATTCAAGATCCATTAAAATTATTTCTTTGTGTGTTAAAGAATTCAATCTTCTCTCTCCGATCGTCTGACAAAATCATGTCAGTATCCCACTTTTAATACATTCCACGTATTCTTATTTTCTTCAAGTGCACGATAAAACGGTAAAAAAAAATCATTCAATCGTCGGTGTAATCGTTATTTTTTTTCGTAAATTGCCTTTGTATATTGACCCAATTTGTAAGAGAGAAATTAATTTCAAATTTTTTTTTCCCAAAAAAAAAAGGAAGAGAAGAAAAAAAAAGAAATTGAATGTAAAAAGTTAATACGCGTATATGCTGAGGGACAGGAATCATGAGCGCGTGTCCGTGGAGTAGTTACATAAGTTACTCTTTAGAAAATTAGGGTTGCTCTGAATAGCATGGAAAGAAGACAGTATCATTTAGAAAACAGTAAGGTTCATATCCTTTTGTAATGCCAACGACACAAAGTAAAAGAAACGGTATATTTCACATGCGGAATAACGTGTGTATTATACCGTAACACGCACAGGCGACAGACCTCGTATATATATGTAATTCGCGTGGATATACATATATATGTGATACTCTTTTGGTGTATTATATACAGATATATAATGGGAAAGAATAATCGTGAAACCCCATGCGTACCGAGCATTCTGTGAACCCACAATATGTACTCCGCGTATCGGTATTCCATGTTCTTGGAGATATCGTCTTTAAAAGCGACATTCAATTTAAATATTTATGTTGACCCGCACACCGACAAACAATTTATGCGGACAATCCTTTAACACTTTTGGAATTGTTCTCTGAAATTAATTATTCATGATTTGATTGAGATTACCGAGGGGGTGATGATCTTCTTAGTCTACATCTGGTTCATGTGCTCAGAAGTTGGAGCAACTGATAACACTTGAAACTAACATGAATTTAGAATACCACACTGTGAATTTTTCTTTTAGTAACTATTTAGAAAATTAGATACAGATTATAGTTTATATTAATAATATTATTAATACTAATAAATATCATTAATCATGGTTGCCACAGAGACTGGAAATCCTGGAAAAGGTATGGAATTTAGAAAAAGGTATGGAAAACCTGGAAATAGTATAGAATTTAAATAAATTTCTGGAAATTTGCCTGTTTTTAAAGATTTTTGAGAAAATTTTGTTCTAGTAATAGTTTAGAACCAGTAAAAAATTTGTTGACTAAAAATTGTTAGTAAACAGAAGATTAAAATCGCTCAAAAAATAATTTTTCATCTTCTGCTGATTATCGGCTGTGGTTACTTTTTATGAATTGTGAATTAAATTAATTTTGATGCACCAGATATTAATTGAAATTTTTCTAGTAATAGTTTAGAACCAGTAAAAAATTTGTTGACTAAAAATTGTTAGTAAACAGAAGATTAAAATCGCTTAAAAAATAATTTTTCATCTTCTGCTGATTATCGGCTGTGGTTACTTTTTATGAATTGTGAATTAAATTAATTTTAATGGCTCAAATAATTATTAGAATTGTTCTAGTAATAGTTCAGGACCAGAAAAAAATTGTATATCTAACAATTGCTAGTAAATATCATTAAACATACAGAAAATGATTAATAATACTACTACTGCTTAAAAATATCATTTAGAGAACTATCATTGCTTGCATATACCATTAATAGTAATATTTAATTAATACTAATAATTCTAAATACCATCAAAAAAGCAGAAAATGCATAATAATTCTGCTAAAAATACCATTTAAGTTGATACCAATGTTTGTAAATACCATATCATAAGCATAATGTAATCAACGATGTTAATAATGCTGAAAAATATTATTTAAGGGGTATCACCACTCTATAGTCAGAAAAAGTTGCTACTACTGAGTATAAAAGAAGCAGAAAACGATTAATAATGCTTTTACTTCTAAAAAAACCATTTAAATAAGTATTATTGCTTGGAAATATCATTAAAAAAAGCTACCAAACTTGTAAATACTATCGAAGAAGCTTGCAATGTGCAACAATGTTTCTAAAGCTGAGGAAAACAATTTCACTTGATACCACTCATTACAAAAACCATTAAAGAACTTACCACTGTTTGAAAATGCTACTAATGATGATAATAATCTTTGGAAATATTCTGAAAGAAGCTACTAATGCTTTAAGATACAATTAAAGATACAAAGAAATACCATTAGTTGAATCTACATTTCTTGAAACTACAATTCCTGCACAGTAGCCGATAATTGATTACAATTTCTAATTAAAAGTAGTCAACTTTTACTATTTTCAAAATGAATTTTGCTCCGCTCGATGTAATTTTCAGAAAAATGTACTTTGATCCAAGCAACTTTTACACCAAAATTAGTAAAAATTGCTAAAAAGTTGTTACTTTATTCGTTTTTTTCGTGTAGTATAGTGCAAAATAGGATTAAAAAAATAGAATCTAAAACTACAATGTGGAAATAGGATGTAAAAATACAAAATCAGAATGTATATAGGCCATAAGAAATGAGATCAAAAAAAATTCCACTCCTTAAGCACATGTTAATCGAAAAGTATGTTTTTCTATTACCTTAACAATATTGATGCTTATCAATTAATAACTCCACGATTGTTTTTTTAAAGGACCAGTGAGCTTGTGGCATTAGTGGCCTTGTCAACAACTTTATTTCTCTTTCTACACACAAGAGATCTTCATTCTCGACTTCGAGAAATGGAAGTACGTCTTCAGCCGGGAGAAGATGATTCACTATCAGCCAATCAAGTCTCAGCTGGTGAGTGTTTACTTTTCATTTTAATAATAATAATAGTAATAATAATTTTAATTAATTTAATTACATCAGTTATGAATTTACATAAAAACGACCACTCATTCTTACTGAAAGTAAAATCACGAGAATATTACCAATCATCAGAGGATTTGACTTCGCATATATATAAAGATATAATTGCAATATTACATTTGTATAAAATTGATTTCAAATCGTCTCCTTATGCTTTCACTTATAGTTTCAATATTCTTTTTTTTAAGCGGATAATCACCACAATACTTCCTTAATTGATCATTATCCCTATTATAATTGCAAAATGACAATAAATATCAATGACTGTCTGTACTTTGTTAGAAGACAATTAGAAAGCAACAGATGCATTGTAATTTTATAAATTGGGTAATAGGTACATTTTCATTATTATCAATTTTGTAAGTGATGAATATAATCTGAATCCTAAACTACTTTGTCTCTATTTATTTCCTAAACATACAGTTTTTGTTTCTACAAAAACTGTATGTTTAGGAAATAAAAAAAGACAAAATAGTTTCAGTTATAATTGCTAATAACGAATAACAAAAACTGTACGGAAAGTTCAATGAAAGAAAAAATGTGCAAAAAGTTCAATGAAACAACATTAAGGAACGGAGAAAAGGCTAACGACCTGATAAATAATTGAGACATCTTATATATCTAAACCGGTTTTAAATTGGAAGGTTTCTGGCTCGAAGTGTCAAAATTTGACAAGTCAATCCTCGAGGGAATATCGTGATTACGAAATAAATTTTATATTCTCTCTGACAAGTGACGTAAATACAGCATCTTTTGAATATGGTTCACGATTAAAGGTTCAAAGTGATGAAGAGGGTTCAGGGTTGAAACAGGTCAAGGTGCGAGACTCGGTAAACCTTATGCACGATCGTAAAGCGCGCGCGCGATTTTCAGAATTATGCGTTACAACCGAGCACGATTGCTTTCTCCTAAAAACCTATTCCTTCAAGCAAACGTCAAAGAAAATAATTCAAGGACGCTGCCTTTTAACACTCTTCTTTAATACACTCTTTTCTTTATTTTTGCATTAAAATTTTTCTCTTTCTTTTTGCTAAAAAGTAAATTTTGACATTACGTTTAGTAATCTATAAACTAAACATTACGTTTAATGACTTTTAGTTTCAATAGAGGATTGAATATTTGTAAATACTTTGTATTTAATTCCCTTTAATTTTATACTCCTCAAAAACAAAACAAATTCAAGTCATTAGAAATTTTCCTATCCGAAACTTTCATCAGGAAACACGTGCGTGCAAAAAAGAGACTCTAATAAATTATTTAGAACTTATCTCGAGAAAATGTGGTAAAAAGAAAAAATCATCACAAGTATGAAAAATCATTTAATTGCGTGGGATGAACATAGCAAAAAAAAAAAAAAATACTCACAACAAATATACATTACAACGCCTATGAAAAGAAGATAATATTATAAATGTAAAAATTTGTAATCATCAGAATTAAAGTTTCTTGGCATGAATTCAAGAAATCTGAGGAGAAAGATATTTGCAAACGTGCACAAAATAAGAAACGGGTCATCGTGTTGATTTATCTGTTTCTCATTTTGGAAGCAAAACTACTTGACTAGTTGTCATAAAAAAAAGGAAGAATTATGCAAAAGTACATGCTCTTATCGTGCCAGGGGCATAGTAAATAGCATCATCTGAAGAAACGTGTAAAGAATGTGTAGAGCATCTCGAGAATCCGTAACGGTATAAATGCCATAGCCTCATTTGCGTAAAATCACGGGCGTCGCCAATTAACAACTTGGCTTTCAACAGCTTTCTGCAGCCTTTTATTATTTTTTTGAGCGCAATTTCGTTTTATTAATCCAACAACACTGACCTACTATTGTACGTATCGAGAGTATATTAATTCGATACAATTGCTAACATAAAACATAAATGGAGAACAAGTATATTATCGTGTATAATAATTAATGTATAAATAATACCAGATAATATTAATAATAATACTAGGAAAAAAAATATTTATCTCGAATAACTACAAAATTAATTATATTAGCGAAATTAGTTTTTTCAAATTATTAGCTTTTTCAGTTAAGACTTTGGCTATGGAAACTTATCGCTGTACCAGGTGAAGCTTTTTTGGGACAAGATTAATTCTTAACCTTCTGTTAATACACTAGATCATTTTTGATTCAGATTAAAAATTGATTCAATGAATTCAAGATTTAATTTATTCATGTTTTCGAATTAAAGTTTTTTGATTACAGAAATCACAGTAATTTTTGTTCATGGAATATTAGCTAAAAAGGGGGATTTTAACTTTAAAAAGCAGATTCATTTGAAGAAAAGCGGATTTTTCAAATTAAATAAAAAAAAAAAATTGTACTATAATCTATTCAGTCAGGAATTATGAAAAAAAAAATTTTAATATAAATTACTACATCGCTTATAAATGTATGAAAAGTAATTTTGCAAAACCAATATCCAGATTTAATCAATTTAATTATCAATTTCATAAAAATCATTATTTTTCGTTAAATAAACGAATCAGAATTTTCAGATTATTCCTGACACTGATTATTTGATACTTAATTATATTTTACTTATAAATATAAAATTGTATATATTTCAATAAATATTTACTTACAAAATAAACTCGACGGGAAATATGTTATTTAACTCACCTGCAACAAAAAGAAAGGAAAATACTTTATATTAGAATTATTATTAACAAAATAATAATTTCTTTTAAATAAGTCCATTTGTATTAAAATTCCATGAATTTTACTATCGGTAGATAATTTGAAAATTCTTATTTCTAGAGTAACATTCTCTATTTTTGAAGAAAATTTCTTTATAAAAATTGAAAAAATTTACTTTAGAAATAATAAAATTTATTCAGCTAATAATAATAATAAATAAAATTTTGCAACCAAAAGTGCTTCTTTAACTTAAAAAAATACAAATCTCATTAAAAAATAAGTAAATAAATCATAAAAATAGTAAAAAAAATAAATCATATAAAAATTTTTTTGCAACTAAAAATGGTTTTTTAATTTAAAAATTAATAATAAAATTTTCATACAAAAAAATACAAACCTCATTAAAAAGTAAATAAATAAATCAAAAAAATAGTACAAAAATAAATCATATAAAAATTTTTTTGCATCTAAAAATGGTTCTTTAATTTAAAAATTAATAATAAAATTTTCATACAAAAAAAAAATCAAAATAATTTATTCAAAGCAGCCTCAAAAATTTGATTTTCTATTTCCTGGTTTTCAGACATAATTTTGACTTTTTTCCTGACCTCTATAGAAAAATTCAGGGGAATTCAATTATGAAAAAAAGATTTCAATAAAATTCTTTTTAAATTATTTAAATTATTTTTTTCAACTATTTTTAATAGAATTTTAGAAAATTTCAATTATTTCAAAAATTATCAATTATATTTGATTATAAAAATTCAATTCTCTTTAAAACATAGAATTGAAATATTTCAAGGACGTAATTTTTCAGAACTTTAAATAAAAGCTTTTGAAAACTTTAATTTTTTAACAACATTTTAAATTTTAGTTTTTTAAAATTAATAATAATTAACAATTTTAATTGTAATTCTTTCGAAATTTAATGATGTTAGATGCAATTTAAACTCTTTCATTCTGTTTTTTAAACTATATAAAGATATGAATACAATATTTACTAATTATTAAATTAAAATTCTTTGTAAATTCGATTTTTTTAAAAAATAATTAAATTTTTTGCCAAATTTAATTATTTTTAGTTCGATTTCACAAAATTTCAATTAATTTGATAATTTATTATTAAAAATTTAAGTATCTTTAAAAAATACAATTAAAATTTTTCAGAAATTAATTTTTTTTAGAATTCTTAATGAAAGTATTTAAAACTTCAATAATATTTTAAAGAAGTATTTATTTTTTATTCTTTCACTTCAGTTGAAATTTTCCAAAATTTAAGTTCAAAACCTTAGAAAATTTACTTATTTCTGAAAATTCCTACTGATTTTAAATTTAATCTTTTCTAACTTGATCATAAGTAATAACTTTAAAAAAATTATTCTCAACTTTAATTATTATTTACAGAGCTTAATATCTAAAATTTTCAAGTTAAGTACAATCAACAACATTACGAAGGTTATTCCAGAATTTAATCATTTTCAGAAATAAGAAATAAAGTAAAAAAAAATTCAAGGATTATTCAAAAATATTTTTGAACACAAAAACTAGAAGTTTTGTATAGTAATTCTAGAAGTTTGTCATTTTTTCCAGTTCTTTTAATTTTTATTTTTTAATTTTAATTTTCCTGATTTCCCTACAAAATTTAATTGTCCCTGATGACGTTTCTCTGATTTTTCTTGTTCTGCGTGGCAATTCTGCTAAAGAAATTTTTCTCCTCCAAAGCACTAATAAAATTATTAAATAAAAATTCCCCCTTTTTTTATTAATAAAAAACAAACCTTCCGAGAAATTTTCAATCATCAGAAACTATCTTTCAGCAAAAGGTGGACGATTGTAAAATATCTAAGATCAATTACAGGGATTCGCTTACAAAATGAGTTCCGCAAGAATATTAGGTGTAATTACACGCCATTGAGGAATAGAATTTACGAAAGTTCCTTTTTGAATTCTGCACATAATTACAACTTATGAAAAATCATTTTCAGATTCCAATGAGAGTTGTTGGCAAAAATTTGGCTCAAGGAAACAAGTATTTAATATTTTTTTATGCAAGAATTATTCGACACTGAAAAAAAACTGTTCATTTAATTATTTAATTTAATTAGTTCAATTAATTCATTTCGTTTTTTGTCTCAATTTGATATCTTTAGAAAAATATTGTTCGCCAAAAATTTGAATTTTGAGCGAAAAAGAATTAAGAAATTAGAGAATTTTTTTTTTTTTTTGAATTAATAGAATTATATCTTTTCGAACAAAATTTTTTGATGGAGAACCGAAAGCTTCG